TCGCTTGAGCCCAGGAGTTGAAGGTTGCTGTGAGCTGAGATGCCGCAGCCCTCTACCCAGGACGACAGCTTGAGGCTCTGTGTCAAAAAAAAAAAAAAAAAAAAATCCTAGCACTCTGGGAGCCTGAGAAGGGTGGATTGCCCTGAGCGCACAGGTTCAAGACCAACCTGAGCAAAAGCGAGAACCTGTCTCTACTAAAAATAGAAAAAAACTGAGGATAGAGGACCACTTAAGCCCAAGAGTTGGAGGCTGCTGTGAGAGCTATGATGCCACGCCACCTTACCCAGGGCGACAGCTTGAGACTCTCTCTCGAAAATAAATAAATAAATAAATAAATAAAGCCAAGCGTTATGGCAGGCACTTGTAGTCTCAGCTACTTGTGAGGCTGAGGCAAGAGGATCACTTAAGACCAGGAGTTGGAGGTTGGTGTGAGCTAAAACACCATAGCACTCTACTGCGGGTGACAGCTTAAGACTCTGTCTCAAAAAAAAAAATTGCACAAGAATGTTTATAGCAGCTTTATTCATAATAGCTAAAAGAACCACTCAAACACCAAATCAATGGAATAGACTGTATTAGTTTCATGCAATGAAACATTACACAGTAAAGAAAAAGAAAAAACCTTATATACACAACAGTTTGGATGATTCTCATGAAAATGTTAAATAAGAGCAATCAGACAAAAAGAATATATACAGGTATAATGCCATGTATGACAAGTAAAATTAAGCTATGGTGTCCGAAGCCTTATCTTGAGAGAGGTACAGGGCAGAGTTCCTGGTGATCTTTCTTGGCCATGGGAGGTGTGTTCCATTTGTTTAGATTTAACTAATATATATATTTGTTTGAATGATTTTCAGTGTGTATATTAAGTTTATATTTTTCAAGAGATGGTCCTGGCTTGGTGCCTGTGACTCAAGGAGATAAGGCACCAGCCACATACACCTAAAGGTGGCAGGTTTGAATCCAGCCTAGGATCGCCAAACAATAATGATGGCTGCAATCAAAAAATAGCCGGGCGTTGTGGCAGGCGCCTGTGGTCCCAGCTACTTGGGAGGCTGAGGCAGGAGACTCGCTTG